CACACACACACACACACACACACGCACACGAAGACATGGTTTCAGCCTTCACGTAACCTCATTCATTCTGTGTGGACAGCACTAACGCGGCCCACCCTACGTCCGCCATGGTTCTGCAGACACGGAGAACAGGTGACCAATGATCGGACGAGATAGGGCGCATTCAAGGTGGTATGGCCGTAGAGAGGTGACCGGTGATAGGAGCTGGATGTGATCAGCATGTGGGCAGCTGGCAGCCGGGCTGGGCAGAGGTCCAGGTGATTGCCCTGCCTTCTTGCCTGGGGTCAGGGATGGGATCTAGTTATCCAGGGCTCTGGCCCCACCCTTTGTGTTATTTTAATTTAATGAGGACCCCAGGGCATTTTTCTTAGAAGTCCTCATGCCATTCTGAAGTTTAGCCAGGGCTTAGGCTTTGATATCTTGGCATGGTTAATACATTAATTCATCATTTAATTGATTTTTTTCTGAAATGTTTGAACATGCCTTCTGTATGAGATGATTTACATAGATTGCTTCTAATCCTCCAAATCCTCAGAGGTAGGAGCCGTCACAGCCAAAGCAGCCAGCATTTGTTGCGAGGAGCCAGGGAGACAGACCCCATAAGGCTGGACAGCTTGGGCTTCATTTTATTATCACCACGACCTCCAGCGGAGACATGGACATCCTCTTCATGGGGGAGGGGGTGGGAGATCAGCTCTCAAGGGCCACCAGCCAGTGGCCCCCCCAGGTGGCCATGCACAGGCACTGTGTGCGGACTCTGGGACTCGTGTGTGGCCTCACAAGAAGGAAGTGGCTGGCGTGTGACCTGGCTGTAGGACTCTCTGGCCTCAGGTCAGTGCCATGTGCTCTCCCACCAAGCCACACCCTCGGTGCTGGGGGTCTGATCTGACCTTGCTGGCTTCTCTGCCACAGGTGGCAGGAGCTTCTATTTCATTCTCCTGCTGGGAACACAAGAGCTAATGCATGTGATGGGCTTAGCATGATGCTTGGCTTTCAGTAAGTGGTCAAAAAGTGTCACTTTGTCTGGAGGAAAAGGACGTGATTTTGTCTTTCCAGGTGTCTTCTGAAGTGATAGCATGCATCTCACTGGGGGCCCTGCCTGCTGTGCAGGCATTGTGCTTTGGGAACCAGGCTCAGGGGCCTGTGTGAAGCCACACAGCCCTGCTCCTGGCACAGGTGCTAAGCTGGCCAGGGTCCCTGTTACAGTCACATCAGATGCGGTCACATCCTGCAGTTCTCTTTCTTCTGTGTGCATTGGGAATTGAACCCCCAGTTTTTGCACTGAGTTCTACCCCCAGCTTCTCCCTAAATTTTGACAATGATTCTTGGTAAGTTGTCCAGGCTGGGCTCAAATTTGCGATCCTCCTGCTTCAGCCTCCCAGAGGGCTGGGCCTATAGGCCTGCAGCACCACGAGGTCTGGTTTATGTCTCTCTCTCTTTCTTTCTTACTTTCTTCTTTTTTAAAAATAATTTTATTAAGAAACAAATAGCAATGAGACAGTTTCAAAACAGATTAGTAGGACAGTTTCAATAATTAATACATTGCATATTATTGTCTTCTTAGTGGTTATTCATAGTGCAAGATGCAGATATGATATTCTGTCCACAAACACTATTAGAACATTTTTCTATTCATTGAATTAAGAGAAAGTAGCTGTATATCTAACCTAATTATTTTCAATATACAGATACAAAATGGTCCTTCATATGCATCCCCCTTTTTTTGTTTAGTTTTGTCAGAGCTGGGTATTCCATTTCCATTTAAATATTGTAGGTGTGTGAATTCAGCAAAATCATCCAATATAGTCCAGTAGTCCATAATTGTAGTGGGTTATCCATAGGACTGGCAATGTTGGAAGTTGTTGACTTGAGCCTTTTGCAGCTCAGCATATTAATATGGCTTTACTTTTTATACCTCATTTTTATACTTTTCTGCTGGATGTTTAAGACCAAGATAAAGCAAGACCTATATAACAAGAAATGTGACTTTTGTATCTGACAAGGTCAGTCAAATCTCCTCAGGATTTATCCTGAAACCCTGTAGCACAGTGTGTAGATCCTCTGTCAGTGTCAGCCATGTGGATGAGTCACGGCCATTGCTTGGCCAGTGTGCTCTCTGTGAAAGCCTGAGAATGTTTTCTCTCCGTGTGACTCTCCTTAGGCACACTCTACATCACCGATCACTTTCCTCTGTGGCCCCATAATCTCCTTGATTAGAAAATTTATATGTTCCTTTCCTTATCTAAAGCTGTATTCTTAGTTTCCCCAAGTCATCGAGGCCTCGGTGTAGCCTCTGGAGTTGGCCTCAGCTTTTTCCTTATCAGGAAAACACAGGATTTTAAACCTTAGAGTGAGGCAAACGCTCTGCCCCTGAGCCGTGCCCCCAGCCCCTGCTTCTGCCCTTCCTACATAGCTCATGCGCACTTTTAGCAATGGCTGTGAACCTAACTGCCCACCAGCCTCCCTGGAAAGCTCCTCAAGGGCTCTGGTTTGGGCCTCCTCTACTCTTAACTAGCTGTGGGAGCCAAGGTAGTGATTTCACCTCTTAAACTTTCACACCTTCTTCTTAAAGTGAAGACAACAATGCCCAACTCCCAGAGCTCCCTGTAGGAGGAAGGGAAATTCCTAGCATGATGCTTCATGTACTTACCCTGAATGTTCTAGAATAAGAGCCCACAGTTACTATGCACTATTGGGGTGTGATAATAATAGTGATAAAAGTCCCCCTCCCCCCAATGGTTGCCATGGAGCACACCTGTACTTCTAGCTACTACAGAGGCTGAGGCAAGAGGATCTCAAGTTTGAGGCCATCTGGGGCAGCTTAGTGAGACCCTATTTCAAAATACAGCTGGCTGGGCACAGCGCAGCTCCGCGTTATAGCGCTTTCCTAGCACACACACAGGCCTATGTTCAGTGCCCAGCACTGCAAAAATGAGAAGCTCTGCCAACCCAAGGCGGAAGGCCCCTTCCCAGCAACCTAGCTTCCGTCCTGAGCCTAGCTGCCGGGGCCCAAGGGAACAGGCAAGACTCACAGACGCAGTGGGGCAGGCGGGACGTCCAGATGGGCGTGCCGGTCTCACGGCTGTAGCAGGTAAGCAGCGAGCTCCCCTCCAGCACGAAGCCGGGGTTGCAGGTGTACTGGATGGTGGTTCCCACCAGCAGCACCGGGTCGGAGATTAAGCGGGTCGAGTGGTCCACCTCTCCCGGGTCGGTGCAGTACATAACTGCGGGGACGGAACTGGCATCAGGGCAGGCGGCATCAGATCAGCAGTTTCCTGAATGGTCTAGAAATCGTCCTAATTTGGTTCTTTACTGAAAGTTAGTACATCTTTTGCTCAGCAAGAGCAAACAGCTGGAGAATAGTCCAGGTGGAAAGAGATTGGAATTTCATCCCTCTTTCAGGAGTTTGCCTGAAGAATTTATATGAGGGCCCAAAAGCCTAGGGACAATGTTAAGTATTGGTCCATTACTGGTGATGGTAAAAAAGAAGCAGTGCAAATCCCTTAACCTGGGAAGAGTTGAACACAGGAACCCTTCCAACAAACGCTGAGTTGCGCGGGCAGCATGAGGCGGGCCTTCCCTGCACTCTCTGGAGCCCTTGCATGCAGTCAAACAAGCAGCCAATGGTCTTTTAATTAACAAAAACAATACAGGTAAAGAAAAACAATAGACCAATTAAAAATGAATGAAGTGGACAGTGTGAGTGATGTGAAAAGACATCCCATCGGTATTTCTGAGCAAGAGAAGCGGCAAGGCAGGCTGTAAAGATGGATCTCTCCGTGGTAAAACCCCTGCATCTGTAGGTATTCCATTACAAATTTTTTAAGTATTCAGTTCTGTGGGAGGTTATTTTGTGGGCCCCATGGTGGGACCCTCACATCTCCATCTGTGAAGGATGAGCCCCCAAACTGCCTGCCTGCCTCCCTCCCTCCTTCCCTGCCCCCTCCCTCCCTTCATTTCTTCCTTCTGTCTCTATATCTGGGTATAGATTTGTAGATATAGATAGAAACAGCTTTCCATTAGGATAAATATGTAATCAACAGAAATTGCTATCCAGATAGATATCTAATAGAAGCAGGGACTTTACCTAGATCTCTCTCTCTCTATATATATATATGCCTTCATAACATGTGATATATGTATGTGTATACACACAATTGAAATATATAGACGCTTTTAGCAGAGATACCATTTCTAGAGAGTAAGGCCATAAAGGATTTTCACTTTCTGCTTTGTAATTTTAGCATGCTTGGGACCCTTAAGGCAGCATTTGTTGTCTTTGCCATATGAAATCATGGTCATATGCATCTGTCAAAGTTGGGGTGCTTTAGCCCAGGAAAGGCATGCTTAACAGCCAGTGGCCGGGGGCCACATTGTTTCAGGAGGTTTTTCTGATCTCATTTCACTGAAAGAGAAAGCAGTTTGGAGGCTCATCATTTTCAGATGGAGATGTGAGTGTCCCAACATGGGGCCCATGAAATAACCTCCCACAGAAATGAATACTTAGGGGCTGGGGAGATAGCTCAGTAGAATAAGTGCTTGCTTGGCAAGTGCAGGGTCCTGAGTTCAATCCCTAGTACCGCAAAAAAGAAAAAAAAAGATTGAATACCTAAAAAATTTTGAAATGGAAAAACAAATTAAAAATCTATTTACTCTGACTTGATTTTTTTCTTGGCAAAGAATAAGGAAAGAAGAGTTTTCTATCAAGGGTTAGAGTTATGTCCCCTTTCAAGCCCCAGAACTATTTTTAGTAATGATGATGCTATAGATCACTTGAAGGATGTGGTGATTGGTGAGCTTTCTCCCTGCATTTTTATTATCTATTATTACACATACACACACACACACACACACACACACACACACACCCCACATACTATTGCTGAACTTCTAGGACCATTTACATAATCATCTTTTGTATCTTTGACAGGTTCTTCTACATCTCCCATAATAAATTTTCTTTGATATTAAAATTTTACAGTAGAATTATAGGTAATCTCCACATCCCCACATCCTTTCTCTGGTAATGTCCTTTCCTGCTAATGCTTTGTATTTCTGATGCTGGAATTCTGGTTCAAGATTTGAGGGACAGAGCCATTGTGGTGTCACATAGGAGGCCCAGCAAGATGTTTGGGGAGGGGAAGGCAAGCGGTGGAAACAAGTGGCTAGGGCCAGAAGGAGGCCACTTCCAAATTTAGCTCCTCCTGCTAGGGGGACAGCAGCATGGGAGCCTGCGGTGCTTCCTTAGTTTGCTTCTTCTTCAAGGTGCTGGACTCAGTGACTGCTGCTCACCTGGCCCACTCTCCTGGGAAGTAGGAACAGTGAGCTCAGGGGAGCAGGACCCCAGGATGGAGGATATCTAAGAAATTTGGATGTAGCCGATTGACAGGGGTTTGGGAATGGGGTGGTGAGGTCCAATTTAGACTTTGATGTTTCGCTCAGTGTTATGGTTTGTGTTTAGGTGTTCCCCCAAAGCCTCATGCAGTCATTGGGGTGGCTTCTAGAGTCTGTGATTAATTTATGATCCAATGCTGGGATTATGGGTGTTAATTGTACACTTGTTCTAGAGCAGATAATCTGCATACAAATATAAGAAGGGGAGAGAAGCTAGAAGCCACAGCTGCTGCCCCTCCCTGAATTTGGTACCAGGAGTGGGCTCATTGCTGTGACTATAGACCTGATCATGAGGATTACAAGTCTTTGGGAATGGCTTGTGGGAAGAGATAGGAAGGGTTCAGAGATGTTGCCTACAAGAGAAGTGCTGGAACAGCTTCAGCTGTTCTGATGGGAGATTCTGTTCAGAGCTCAGAACACCAGAGGCTGATAGAAATGCTGTCTGTAGAGACCAGCTGGGGAGGTTTCTGCTGGTAGGAAGGACAGCATTGTTGTTGGACTCCAGATGATGTGTGTTATGCCTTGGCAGAAAGTTTATCTGTGTTTTGTTCCTGTCCAGAGACTTTGCCTGAGACTGAGATTTAAGCATGGGGTACTGGTTAATCTGGCAGAAGAAATTTCAAAGCAGTTGGTTGAATGTTGAAACAGTGGAATGGCTATTGTTGGGGGTTTTAGTCAGATATGTGTTGAAAATCAAGAGCAAAGATCTTTGAAGGATGATTTAAAATGTGAGTTTGGTCACAAAGGGAGTACTGGTAAAGCTGTGGACTGCAAAGATAGAGCAGAGAGGATCTCCATTGCTGAGAAGGAACAAGAGAATAGAAAAGATGGCTGAGGGCATCACAGGAAGCAGCAGGTCTTCACCCTTCATAGCCTCAAAACTGCAAAAGTGAAAGACGTTGCTTTGAGGAGCGAGCTGCAGAGCATCATGTTCCAGAATGGAGGCTGTGGCCACACAGGTTACAGAATGGTGGTATTATAGAGAATATTTGTTCCTCAGAATCAGGGTCAAAGTGCTCAGTGATCCAGGAATTTGACCCCTACAGCCAAGAGAGAAGAAAGTCTGGCTACTGTTCCAACTGGCAGCATCCACGTGATTTTAGGTGCAGGCAGAATGCAAGAGTTTGAGGTTAAGAAGGCTTCCACCTAGATTTCATAAGAAGGCGTGGGAGGCCAGACGGTGTGCCCCTGAGAGGGCAGTGTATAAAGCAGAGAGTGAGAAGCTTAACACACAGTGGGAACCCCAGAAGTTTGGAAAAGTCAGGAATGTGGTTCATCTAAGGGAAGCTGCAAGGAGGGAGCAAAGCCAGCCTAACAGAGAAGCCATAGAGATGGAGCCACATGGAGGTCACAATTTGTCACAGATTGCTTCAGATGTTCCACATGGAACTACAAGACTTAATGTTTGCCCTTTGGTTTTGGATTTGCTTTGTTCCTGGTGCTTTGTTTTCTACTGCATGTACCTTTTGGAATGATAATGTTTATCTTGTGCCATTGAATGATGGAAGTGTTTAACTTTTCATTTGTATAGGGGCTCACAGCTAAGAGTCTACCTTAGATATTGGAGGAGACTTGGGACTTGGACCCTTTAGCAATGCAGAAACTGTAGGACTTTGGAAATTCTTAGAGAGGGACTGAAATGTCTTTTGCACAAATGGATGTGCATGAGTCTTTGGGTGGAGTGTCACTGTTTGTGTCTAGTTGTCTCCCCAAAGCCTCGTGCAGTCATGTGGTGGCTTCTAGAGTTTGTGATTAACTCGTGATCCACTGCTAGGATTATGGGTGTGGGCTACACTTGCCCTGGAGCAGATAATCTGCATACACATGTAAGAAGGGGAGAGAAGAGAAACTAGCTAGAAGCCACAGCTGCTGCCCCTCCCTTTGCTCTTTGCTGTTTTCTGCTGTCCTCTGCCATATGGCAGTCTGCCTTGGATCCAGCTGAGTATGGACTGAAACCTCCACTAACAGCAAGTGAAATAAACTTTTCCTTCATTAAAATTGTATGTCAGGTATTTTGTCCCAGCAACGACATAAACATAACTGGGACACTTGGCTACTACAGGTGTGTAAAGACCTGCACAGAACTGTCTTCCTCACACAGGCTACATGCATTCCAATTTGCCATAGTCCCTGCTGCTCTCTACTGCCTTACACTCAATCTACGTTGCTCCTTTACATGACCTGCCAGGTGGGGGAGGCATGGGAGGCTGAGATGACACTGAAAGCTGCACAACAAGCTTGGTGAGAAACACTGACGAGTTATTACAGGTAGAGGAGCCAACACTGCCCTGAAACCCCCACATCACTTTCCTGCAGAAACAGTACCAGGGGAGGGGCTTACCATCCACCAACAAGTGAAGAAACCAGGGTGATTCTTACTTTTTTCGCAGAAAGGGGGGTCGCTGCTCCAGCTGAGGTCCCATTGGCAGGTGAGGGTGTCACTCCCCACGATGTCATAGCCGGGGTCGCACTGGTAGGTGATTCTGGCCCCCCTCACCAGTTCTGTGTGAGATGTTGTTTTCCAGCCATTCTGGATCTCAGGTAGGTCTGAGCAGGAGTCGTTCCTTGACACCTCTTTAAAAGAAAAACATCCTCCTTAGCTGAGGAGCTTGTCTTTCTGCTCGGATTCCCTTTTGTGAATGTTAAGAGGAAGAACACATAGAAGAAAACACCTCTGGGAATTAAGGAACCACACTTCCAAATCCCTTTAGAACTCTTTTATAGCAAGACATTATAGTTCCCTTTCCCCGTGGGCCACTAAACCTACCGAGCATTCCCTTGGTTTGATAAAGCCAGCTTTGGCTTCAGAGTCAGGCGGAATCCTAGCCCTGCTGCTCACTGACCCCCAAGACCATCACTTGTCTCTGGGTCTCTGGTTCATCACAGTCATGAGGGGTTAATTGTGACAGTGCCACGTGCCGGGGGTAGACAGCTCCCAAGGTGTCCCCTGACCACTCTCACCCACTAGAATGCTCGCCCTTTTGTAGCCCCAGTGACACTGCATGGGCCACTGCAAAGATGACTGCACGTAACTTCTGAGGTGGTTCCCTGGCTTTTGGGGCACTTGCTCTGGTGGAAGAAGCTGCCATGTGAGGATGCTCAAGAAGCCCTCTGGAGAGATCAACAGGGGAGAAACTGAGGCCACTCAGCAAGTAGCGCAGGCCTGGTCAGCCAGCTGTGTGGGTGAGGTGGACACAGGTCCTCCATCCTCAGCCAGGTGCTGAAGTGACCACCGCCCTCACTGCCATCTCTGCTGCACAGAGAGACCACAAGGTGGCTCTACCCAGCCAAGGCTGTGTCCGCATTCCCGCCCCGCAGAGACTGTAAGGCAATGCATGTGTATCGCTAACTTGGGATGCGATCTATTTACAGTAGATAACTACCACCCTCAGCCCCATCCTGGAATATGTGTGAATCCAAACATTTAGCGAGTCAGGAACACCTATACTTGCAATATATATTAAGATAAATGCTTGTCTATTAAAACAAAAGCTGTTATTGGTAGATTCTTCAACTCAAACTGCATACAATCTGTGCACGTTAACAAAAAATACTCTAGATTATACTCCCCCAAGTATGCCGTTATTTCTGTTGTCCTCCTACAAAGCCTTGTCACTCAGGCAGCAATCCAAAGCCTCCTATTACTCTTCTTGCGTCCAAGTGCCCACTGCACAGATTTGACGAAGAGAGCTAATTATGTCATGTAATTAATTTGCAGCTCTTATGCGCTTCTGGGGACAGCAGAGAGCCTCCCCTGTCTGTGGGAAAGTCGTTCAGAGAAGCACGCAATGGCTTTGACTGGGATTTCATCACGATTTTATTTGGAGGAAGGAGATCTCGTGGGTGTCTGCCAGGAGGAGCGGACAGGGAAATGGCTTCTGGAATTGCTTGCTGGGGACAGGGGCTTCTATTTTTAGGCCTTTGAAAAATTAGTTAAGTCCCAGATTTGGGACACAGCTGCAAATTCTGGAACTATGGAGGGAAGGGGAGAAACGGGGTCACCTATGAGAAAAGCGGCTTTCCTGGAGCAGATGCTGCAGGACTGAGCAAGGCCCGCCTGTCTGCCTCCTCACTGGGGCTGCGGTGCTGTGGGTCTTCTGCATCCTTGGTGACATCCACCCATTGCTACACAGCCTGGTCCCAACAGCAGCCCCACTCTTTACTCCGTGGGTGGCCGTGACAAAGACACACAATCTGCTCATTCTTCAGTTCCCAGACCACGCTGGGGATCTGACTTGAATCACCAGAAACTTAAGCGGGGGTTCTGGAAGCATCTGTCCCTGGAGGGCCTCATTCACTGTGCTAACTGGCCCAGGAATTGGGAGATTTCTCTTCCAGTCCACTTGCCTTAGGAAGCTGTGTGTCTTCAGCACCTCATCCACCAACTGCCTGAAGTTTCAGCGTCCTCAGGCATGGAGCAGGGTCAGGTCCCATGACCCTTACTATCCCAAAGGGTGCTGCGAGACTTCACTGATGAGCGTGTCAGAACGGGGTTGGGCAAATGCCAAGATGGGTTGGGTGGATCTGTCTACTGGTTGGACTGAGATTCTGTGAGCACCCTGGTAGTAGCTAAGGGTCTGAAGTCCTGACTTCAGCCTCATTATCATGCTTAGCAGGAAGGCCCAACTTCTGGGCAACAGACAGGCCTTGCATACACACGGCCACACATCAGCTTCCCTCGAGCAGGCCTCGCTAGAATCTGATGGGCACCACCTTTATGAATCAGAGCACCTTCTGAGTCTAGCTGAGACCTCCTAGTCCTTAGAATGGCACCTTAGGGAGCTGCTGTTATCTAGTTGGAGCTGACTTTAAAGCAGAACATATTTGTTATTCTATGATTAGAAAAAATAATCCTTCGGTGGAATCAGTGTCTCCCTGAAAAGCACTCCTTACTCATCTCTTCCTTTTCTATTCCCATATACATGGGCACAAACACTGAGCCAGGCACAAGGCAGAGCAGGGAGGACCGACCTTTGTATCTTTGTACAATGCCTAACCCAGGGGTCACAATCACTTTGGCTCAGAGTTGGACTACTTAGGCTCTTTGGTTCATCTAGGAGCTTCAGAAGTCTTCTGATGGCCCCAGAAGCCCCTGACCTTGACCTCTGACTCCTTCACTGAACAAGAGTTGCACCTAAGTCTGGAAAAATCTAGATCCAGGGTCACAAATGCCTCTCCTGTGACCATGACAGACATTACTAATCTATCACAGCATCCTTCTCCAGCAACATCAGGCATGATCTCTGGTGAGTGATTTTCAACATAGTCTTTAACTATATAGACACAAACAGTTGATTGGCATTAAAATTAAAGATAAAACCAGGTGCAGTGGTGCATGCCTGTAATCCCAGCTACTTAGGAGGCTGAAATAGGAGGATTGCAAGTTTCCCCAGCTTGGGAAACTTAGTAAGACTCCATCTCAAATAAAATATGAAAAGAGCCTGAGAGTGTAACTCAGTGGCATAGTGCTTACCTGGCATGCAAAAGGCTCTGAATTTAATCTCTCTCTCTCTCTCTCTCTCTCTCTCTCTCTCTCTCTCTCTCTCTC